AATTGATTAACATTGATTGTTAACAATCAAGACATGACAAGCTGATGATTAGTTGATTAACTAACTGACTGATTACTGAATAATTATATTTATTGTATTAAAAATCAACATGAATCCCAACAGGTTGGGTTTACCTGATTTCACTTGATTAAGTTAATCAAGTTTCTGGTTTAACAAATAACAACAATTAAGGTAAATCATCTTTAACAATCAATTATTCATGGGCACAATTAATCAATCCAGTTTAAATTCAACTCATCAACTACTGTTACAATTGATTGTATATGAAAGTTTAATCAAATTTTTCAGATTTCTTATCCTTCAACAATTTGTTGATTGTCAAACCTTAATTGTGTGAATGATTATGTATGCAAAGAAATTAACAATTAAATTTTCTAAACAATTAACAGAAGGACTTTTTGATTTAGTTGATTATGAAATTTTTTTTCATTGTCTCTTTTAATCAATCATATAAATTGTGATTCGTTTAGAAATCAGTTTACAATTAAAAACCCGTTCAAAGTCACGGCCAGTAAATTGTTTGATTAAACAATCAGCAATATCGGATGATAATGATAATAATAATGGTAAATCATTTCTCTTAATTACAATCAACAATTAAGAAACAATATATTAATCAAATGAAAAAAAAAACTTTTTCCCCAAAAATTAAAAAAAAGGTAAACATTTCAATCATTTTAAGGTAAGAAAACTTAAATTGTCTTAATTAACTTAATTAATCAGTTATAAATTTTGGTTAAAAGTGTTAAAAATAAATCGTTACAATTAATTATCAATTCTAAATCAACAATTAGCCTTCAATTAACAGTAATTTTCAAGTTAATCTCATTTCATTTTGGTCAATCTTAATCTTCCGATAATTAAAATGATGATATCGACTCCTTGATTTAGTTGATTAATCAATTAGAAACAATTTAATATCAGTCAAGGTCTGACCTCATCTTCATCCTGTTAATCATGATTAAGATGATGGTGATGATCCTCATCATCAATAAAGAATCAATTTTAATTGCAATTAGATCAAGGTTTTAATAAAGATTAACAGGAAAACCAATCAACTTAATAATTGATTTAAATATTAGATTAAAAGTCAAATGAAAAAAACTGTAATTAACAAATTGTAGGCATTTTGATCAACCCATAGAATCAAATTTAATTGCAATTAACCTTTTCAATTGCACCATGGTGATAGAGACTTTTAATTGCGATCGTAATTAACTTTAAATTAAATTTTCTCTTAATTGTTGAAAGTAAATTTTTACAAAACAAAAAGTTTATTATGTAATACAATTAATTAACTTTCACTTGCACTGGGCCCTTTGGTTAATTAGTTTTAATTGTTACAGAGTTTATTTTATCACATAGAGAAAAAATGTCAATTTAATCATCAACTTGCTATAATTAACGATAATGATTAAGCTTAATTGTTAATTAACTTTCGTTATTAAGTTTTGTGTTTCCCAACGAAACCAAAGTTACCCGACAAAAAACCCGCTCCAATCAAATTAGAGTTGAAAGTTGGTTTAAATTGTTGCCACTAATTGTTATGGTTGTTAGAATGTTATAATTACAATCAAGCCTGATTGTGCACTTTTACACTCACACACAATTTACTAATTGTTGACGACAATTTAGCCAAGACGTTGGATTGAATTTTACTTGTGAATTTAATTTCAACTTTAATAACTATCAGAGTTAATTGTTGTTTTTGTTATTATTTTCTGGCAACTGAATCAAATTTAATTATCCACCAGATAGTCATGGTTATCATGTTTGATTAATTTAATCAGCAATCAAGTCTATTATTATGATTGTGATTAAAAGTCCTTGTGATTTAATACATGATGACCATTGTAATGGACGAGGCCAAATAATTGTCTTGGTCAATCAATTGATTATGATGATTGCAAGTTAATTTAAATTGTTGGGATTAATTTTTCCCAATAACTAACCAGATTTATGATTTATTAATGTTGATTAACTAAACTATTACAATTACAATTGAAATTGTTGTATTTTTTTTCTTACCTGATATTTGATTTGTTTTTTTTTGTTCATGATTTGATTTTGATTAGTAACCTTGATTGTTGTTGTTGGCCTTTTGGCTAATTAAATTGTTGTTATTGTTGATGATTTCGTTAAATTAAATGACAATCAAATTGTGAAATGATAACAAATCATCATCAACATGATCACAGTAGGAAGTCAATGTGAAGGTTATATGATTAGAAAAATTTTCTCAAACAATTAACATGAAAAAAGAGGCAAAGATTCATATGGAAATTCAATCAACCAACAATCAGGCGAAACAATTAACTTAATCATTGAAGATTTAAGGCTTTAAATTGTTCAAACAATCTAGAAAAAAAAGGAAAAGGTTAATTAAAGTTCACACCGAATGGTTTAATTGTGATTAATAAACTAATTCAGGAACAATTTACAATCATTTGATAAGAGGAATAAGTTGAATGTGAAAATCATGATAATTTAGTTTTCTCATTGGAGAGGCAACTAAATTAACCTAATGATGATTTCAGTGAGTGATTATTAATCAAATTAAAATATGGAATCGTAAAAGTTTCTAGTTAATCAACAATTAACTCTGGACAACAACACAATTTACAATCAAAATCATGATCAGCTTGATGATGATGATGTTACATTGGATAGGATAAGATGATAATATAATTTAAATTGTGGAAAAAGTTTTCATTTAATCAAATAATCAAAATCAAACAATTTAAATTACATACACTGTTCCCCTATCAAACCCATACAATCAAGTTAATCATGATAATCATGATTTAAATTACCAAATTACAGATCGTAGACCTGAAACTATAAAAAAACAATTTTAAACTTGATTGTTGAAAAATCAACTCATCATTTAATTTTAAATTGTAATTTACTTGATTGTGACTGTGAAGTAAACAATTTAATTTCATTGTACGTTTAATTGTTTTATTATTAATATTATTGCTTATGGTTCATCATTTTAATAACAAGCAAATTAGTTAATCATTTTAATTGTTGATTAGTTGATTACCCAAAGAAAAACATTAAATTAAACTTTAATCATTACCAATGTTGAAAACTAATTTTTTGCTGTCCAATTTACAATTAAGGTGTGGAAACTTTAAACTTCATTAACCACAATTAAAGTTATGATTTATAATGATTAGCAAATTGTTTCACCTTTGTTACTTATATCAATTAACAAAGATAATACTTAATCACAATTAACATATAAGGTTTGGTAATTGATTAAAAGTTATATTAGTTTCTTAATTACTTCCTAATACTTAATAAATTGATTATATTGAACTTGATTAACTTTCCTAATTGTCCAAATGTAACAATGGTGATTAGTTAACTTTAATTGTCTCTCTTTATATTGACAATTTACAAATCATCATTAACCTTGACCTTTTAATTGTTTACTAATTAGTCTATTTTTATAAAAATAAATTGTTCCAACATTTAATTGTTGATGAGTTTGATTTTTTTTCTGCCTCTAATTTGATTGTTATTAGCGTTAATTTGGTTTATATTGTTTCGAGTACTTTTTGATTAAAGTTAATTCAGACGAATGAGGAAATTTTGAAAAGTAAAACAATCGGATTAGTTAAATTTTCTTAATTGTTGGTTAGATTGTTTGAAAGATTTTCATTATTTTCCTGTTCATTTGTTTTTTCTTATGATTAAATTTGATTTGGTTGATTAGATTCTTGATTATCATGATTAGAATCATATTGACCCGATAGACTTTTCACCCAAAGTTGATTAACTAATCACTAGTTGATCGCTAGACAACTGAATTAAGGAAAATGGTAACAATTAATTAGCATTAGAATATGAGAGAGAAAAAAATTTCCACCGAAATTATTAAATTAAACCGGAAGAAAATGGCAAATCTGATTAACTGATCAGTTGATTGCTAATCAAAATTACCAATTAAATGATATTCAATAATTAACAATAAAAAAAATCCTTGATTAGTTAACCATTGATTAAATTGTTTAGCAAATTACCTTGGAGTGGGTATAATATTGATTGGGTTAATTGTTGAGGTATATAAATTTTTTAATCAACCAATTTACCAAATTCTGGACAATGAATAAGAAAAAAAAACTAAATCTATTAGCAACAATTAACTAATTGAAATGTATTAAAAAGGTTGACCAAACAATTAACACGAAAGAAAATGAAAAATGTTAATCAACTAAAAGTGATTAATAAAACATTATAACCTAAATTGTGATCTAATTGTGATACAATTTAAGGTCCATTCTAATAACACATAAGAAAATCGTAATTGTTATCATCTTGTATTATTGTAACAATCAAACACTAATTTGATTGTTATAGTTAATCATTTAAAATGAATTTAATTTTATATATTTTTCCCTTTACAGGGTCAAGTTCAAATTCAATATCACAGAGAGATTAATATTAGATAAACAATCATGATTAAGATGATTAACAATTAAATAATTCAGCTGATGATTAAGATGATAATGAAGACAAGGTGACAGATAAAGAAAAGAAAAACTTATAAAGAACAATAAATGAACGTTTCCAACGAAAACTTTTTGACGTTCGAACGATATTCTGACGATAATTCTAATAAGCCACTACCAAGGTGCGATAAGGCGGTGCTAAAGTGTTGATAAAGTATTTATTATAATCATTAAGCTTTAATTGTGAGTATGTTGATTGTGATGATTAATTTTAATTCACTTATTCACAATTATCTTAGTTATTGAAAAGTTTTTCTTTTCTTTTCTTTCTTTATGGTTTATCGTTAGGTTACCATTGAAGGCGGTGCTTACGGACATTGGCCTGAGCGTTTCCAACGTTTTTTCATCATCTTCCTCATCATTATCATCATCATCATCATCATCATTTTATCTCACTCTCATTAGGTGCTCACTCACTTTCCCGAGTGAGTATATAAACACTGATTCAGGTTCATTTAAAATCATCAGTCAATTTTTTCATCACCAACAATCAACAAGTGAAAAAAAAAAGTTTCAACTATTTTCAATAGTTAATCAGTGATTATATTAAAATTTGCTTCGCTTACCATTCAGGACTAATTACAACAATTTAAAAACTAATCATCATGAATTCAATGGTAAGTTAACTGATTGTTAATTATGGTTTTGCTAATTGTGATTGAAACTGTTTTCTTTTTGTTCAACTCCATTTTTAAATTTTCACCGGAGACTAAGTTTCATTTTGATTGCAACAATCAAACTTTTTATTAGTGTTAATTGTTGATTATTTTATGTAAAAAATAATATTTGATTGTTTATTTTCTGTCTGATTATATTATCATGAATGACAACAATTTCCGCCGGGAATCACTTGTCACTTGTTGATCGTTGTAGTTAATTGATGAAATTCATTGTTGATTATTATCAAAAGCAAAGGAAACTTTTATTTTTATCATTATTTTGAAGTTTCTCATCTGATTGAATGAGAATTAATTTCCCATTGATTATTTCAAACAATTTGATTGTGTTTAGAGGGTTAATCATGTTATTTATTAATAGTAATTGAACTGTTCATGCAAATCAATGTTGATTAGACAAGGAAAACCCGAGAGAGAGAGAGAGAGAGAGATGTTGAATAAATTGTTTTTTTCTTACCAAATTGATTTGCCAAATTATCAGGGAAATAATTACATGCTGGTTATATTGATTGTAATTGATTTGGTTCCGTTGATTAGTGATGAATAATTTTAATTGTTAAACAATTGCTATTTTCCCGTTCGTTCAAACAGGTATCATCAATTGTCATCCTTGTTGTCTCAGTGATCGCCCTTGCCTACGCTAGTGGTTATGGTTATGGTCATGGCTACGGACATGGTGGTTACGGATCCGGATACGGAAGTAGCTATGGAAGCCATGGTGGTTATGGGTATGGTCATGGTGGATATGGAAGCGGTTATGGTAAGATTTTATTGATTTCTTTGTCTGGTCATCAGTTGCTTTTAATGTTTCTCTCTCTCTCTTGAAATCCTCAGGTCATGGGTCTTCAGGCTATGGTCATGGTGGATACGGAGGTCATGGAGGTTACGGTTATTCAACAGCCGTTAAACATGGATACCCTGCTAAGTATGGTTACTCCAGCGGTGGATATGGACATGGTTTAGGAGGATATTCTGGTGCTTATGGTTCCGGCTATGGATCAGGTCACGGTGGTTATGGTGGTTACGGATATGGAGGTTATGATGGACACAAATCATACGGTGGATATGGACACTACCCAAGCTATGGAAAACACTACAGTTATTCAAATTACCACAAATCCGCTTAAATCGATCACAAGATATCAACTGCTCTCACTTGTTCATAATTAAACATCCACACTTAATTGTAGCTCAAATTTAGAATCAACAATTCATCTTCTGTTCATCCACTTTGATCTTAATTTTTTCTCTACTCCTTTGTAACTTTTCATTCAATCTCGCTATTTTTATCTCCTTCCCTGTAATTTCCTATTTCTCATCTTCTCTTAAAAAGTGTAAATTGTTAGATAAACTCATACTTAAACTAATTCCATTCGAGGATAATAAAAACAAAAAAGCTAAAAAACTAAATCAATTTACTTTCCAATTAATGAGTTCTTATTGTCGATAAATGTTCTGATGTAACAATGCAATCTATTCAAATACATAATTGGTAAATGTCCATTCGTCCATCTAATTACTTCGAGTGTGAATCTCAAGGTCTTTTCAAGGCTATTCAAGTAACCAGATGATTGCTCTAGTTCATCAAGAACTCGAAGTCATAAATGTATATTTGCTATTTGAACTTTTTGATGATGGAAATGTTCTGACCTTCATCTAATCAGAAGGTTGTTTAGAGGTCACTTGACGGGTATTCTGAGAAAGAAAACATTTAGTTTCTTGGTAAAACTTCTAAAATCTGCTAAGACATACAAAGTAATCATTAGCTATGATGTTCGACAAAACTGATCGATAAACGTAATAGTGGATGACAAATTCCTTGTAGTGAAAGGCCTCGAATCGAAAATCGAAAGCTATTGAAAGAACGGTTGGACAAAAAGAAGATTACAACCCCAGAGTGGACAGAATTCCTGAAACCATTGGAAAAAGAATCGACGCTAAATTAAAGGAAGAAGCTTCCAAGACGAGCTATAGCCAAAGACGTCCTGAAGACTGTCACAAAGCCTCGACAAGCTGCACAAGCAGATACATTTGTCAAACACAGTAATCTATTCACCACCTTACTCAAAGAAAATGATGCTGCAACATTGGTAATTGGAGAAATTCGAACTCGAAAGATCCATTTACTACAATAAACAATGTCACCAGAGCTTTTTAATCGGTAAGTGAGTAGTTCAGGTTTCGACATACCGGAAACATTGTCGGCCGATTCATTGTCAACCATGATTGTTGAAGTTGATGGTGCATCTGAAGAGGAGCAACTGGAATCCATAGATATGTTCCAATTGTGAGATGAATTGTTGAGTATGAAACCAAGTTTCTTGAAGTACATTGTGTCAATTGAATTTGATGTTATCCCGGTTGCTGGCGATGAGTTTGATTGACCAAAGTGATTGGGTAATTGGGATGAGGAAGGTGATGATGATGGTGATGAAAATGAAGACGATGAGTTGACTTTTTTATGGACAAAACCAAACGGAGGGAAAATGTCAACTCTATCACTAAATACACTACGAAACAGTTACACGAATCTTTAATTGTTACAGATAGATGGCGACACCATTTCTAATGATTGTTAATTATCAACATCTTAAAATTTAAACATTAGTTATTAATAATTAAATTCAATGACTACATATGTTAATACTCCTTGTTAATAATCTGATTCTAAAATGATTGTTTTAAAAAAAAACTTGTTATTCAATAGACAACATTATTTAAATATCAATTCACCTTGATTGAAATTAATCAAATCTGAGTGTTTGTCATTATTAATTACAAGATAATTTGAATCGTGGTGGATTTAATTGTAAATGAATCCACCCTAATGCCAATGAGATGACCCAATAATAAAGGTCAAGGATTTTTATCACATTTAATATCAATCAAAATGATATAATTGTGATTACCTTGGCAAAATCAAACTGTTTAATTTGCATGAAAATCAACAATCAAATCTAATTGCGACCAATGATAAAAAAATTTGCAAGAAAACTGTTTCAAAAACAACAAATTACCTCCTCAATAAGCAAAAGCTTTTTCTCATAATTGTAACAATTAAAGTGCATATTAATAATGAATCAGGACAAACCCACCCGATTAACCAATGATTATCTTAATCCAATGAAATGGATTAAAAAAATCAAAAATAAAGGTAACTTTTTGTTTCTCAAAGTAATGAAACTTTTTGTTCCTATTGGAAACAATGAAAAACAAATTGATACCTGGGAAGTATATTGAATAATAGGATTGTATTAATATCATCTTCCAATAATCATCATGAATCTCAGCATCATCATCATCATCTTTCATTCTCATCTTACTTTTGCATCCTCATCCTCATTTCCTTTTGTCTTTTACCTTTCGGACAATCAACACAAAAGAAAGTAAATTAAATATCATCTCTCTCTCTCTTTCCTCTTAATAACGAAACAGGTTCGTTCTAATGTCCGAACCGGTTCTGGACGAACTACGAATTGAGGTAAAAAAGATGAAGAGAAAGTGAGAAGAGTGGACTCTTGAAGTAAGATAAAGATAGAGAGTGAGAGTAATAATGAGAGAGAAAGTGAGAGAGAGAGAGAGTCAAAGATGAGGAAGATAAGATGAATCTGTAACTCTCACTTTCAATGACCCGAAGTTTGTTTTCGACTTTGAAAGACGAAGGCGAAGTTACAACGAAGCCGAAGAAAAAATTGTTCTCTTCGTTACAACGATCCTATTTCTTAACGAATTAATTGTGATAAATTGTGATTAATTTTCTGTAATTCTCTCAATGTTTATATCGTGTAGTTAATTGTGATTATCTTTTATAATTTCCAGTTCCAATGGAATAAATAATTTATAAATCGTCAAACATTTACAGCAACAATTATCGTGTAGTAAAAGAAACCCATTGAAAAAGGAGAGTAATTAAATTTGTCATCTATTAACATTTTCATTCTCAACAATTAATGGACAATTAAAGTGATTTATCAACAAAATATCAAAAGTTATTTACAATTTAAATCTAAATTGTAGTCTCAAGTTGTTGGTCAACATGGCGATCAGATTGAATTATAATCAAATGGTTATAAATATGATAACTGTTTTGATTGTTGTAAATCAAGTAAGTCAATTGGCTGATTATTTATCTTTCATTTTTAATTAAATCTAATTGTTTCCTTCTCAGTTAATCAATCAAGTTAATTCATTGGCTCCACAAATTAAGAATCTAAATGTTCAATGTGATGCAAATGGGATGAAAGTTGATGTCGCTTTTGATTCACCATTTAACGGAATAGTTTTCTCTAAGGGCTTTTACAATGATATGGGCTGCAGGTAAGAGACAATTAACTAATTGTGACGAAATTGATTCGCTTTAACTCATTTCCATTGGGAAATAATAACAATCAAATGAGAATTATCCTTGAAAATTAAAAGTTACCAGAGTAAATTTAGTTATTAGGTCTTCAAATTAAATTCAACTTGCGATTATGACTCAAGTAAATTGTACTGAATTAATAAATTGTTGATTGGATTGAAATTAAATTACAACTAGTCACGTTGTAATCTAATCATCATCCAACTAGTTAACTAAGGCGATATTTAAATTGTAATTAACTGTCAGGATAAACCAATTATACTTTTCTAATCAAAGGGATTATCATGATTAACAATTATTATTAATGACATTGATTGTGATTGAATTTGATTATTGTAATAATAATCAATACTAGTTAATCATTAGGTGTTAGTTAGTTGATTAAAAGGTTTGGTAATGATAAACATTGATTTTGGTTGGTTGGTTGGTTGGTTGATTAGTTAGTTAATCAACTGGATTTACTGATTTAGAGGAAAAAAAGAAACTACAATTTAATCATATAATCAAGACAAAATTTACTGATTTACTAATTTAATGATAGAGGAAATGAAATTAAGTTTAATTTTTTTTTCTTCTTCTTCAAGTGTTAATGTTTCATCTCGATTAACAATTAAAGTTAATCAGCTAACTAAATGATGATGTTTCTTTAGTATAGTGATTTAAATTGTGACCAAATGATTTATAAATTACTTTCTCTGTGTTAACCATCAGTTAATTGTATTAATAGGTTGATTAAACTTTGATTTAGATACACAATTAGCATTTAAAAGTTAATTTTATTTAAAAATTTCTGATTGTAGTTACTGTTTTAAACTTGAATCTTTAACCAATTAAATTAGTTTTCAATTTGATTGTTTAATCAATTTACTGTTTGAAATTTAAATCTGATCAATTGAATTGATTTGATTACATTTAATTTTTACTTTAATTGGTTAATCGTTGATTCAATTGAATTGTAAATCATTAATATAATTAAATTCTAATACATAATTGCTGATGAATCTTTGAATTAAGGACAATTACAATTAAGATGAGGTCTATATTTGAATTGAAAGCACTAAATCAATGATTAATTGTTATTAAATAACAACAATTTACTTAATTTACTTTCTAACAATATTGGTGATCAATTTTAATTATGATCACAATCTACAAGTTCTTGATTGTTACTGTTTTCTTTATTCATAATAATAACTGTAATTAACTCTAAATCTAATCAAAAAGTTAATTATGCTCTAGTCGAAAGTTAATTGTAATTGAAGAGATAAAAATTAGATATTAATCATCATCACAATCATTAAATTGTTAACTATCTTTCCAATCACAATTAACAGTTACCTTTTGTTTCCGTTTCAATTTGAACCAACAATTTGCATCTAAATTGTGATTAACAATCTCGCATTTAAATTGCTCAAGATTGTGTTAAATTTGACAATTAAGGTAAACAAGATGGTGTAACCGTAATCATAAGCAATTTAAAAGGATCACAATTAAATCAAAGAGTAAGTGTCATCATAATTAAAGTTAATCAACAACAACAAAAGTCCCAGCCTAAGATTGACCTTAATTGTGAAAATTAATGTTGATGATGGAGTAATTTAACTTTAATTATAATTGTAACAATCAAGTAACACATATTTATATACATGTAATTAGTTATTTACTACAGAGTGTATATTGATGATTAAATCATCCTAATTAAGGTTCATGGTAATACAACAATCAATGATTAATCAAAGTTTTAATCTGTCTGGTTAAATATATACATTGGATTTTAATGAGAAGTCAAAAAATTAAGAACGAAGTGAAAGTGTTTAATTAATTGCAACAATTAAGGGATTAGAATGAGAATCTTGAAGGACTGAAGATTGCAAGATGATAATTAAATTGTTAATTATCTTGGGTGATTAGCTGAATAAGAGTCTGAGAATTAACTTAAATTGAAGGTAAATTAGTTGATTAAGAAACTAAATCAATTGAAACTTATGGTTGAAAAATAGCTCAAGGGTAAAAGACTTCAAGTTGATAATCTTAATCATCCTGAATCACTTACACTTTTCAAGACGAAAACAATTTAATTAATTGTAGTAATTAAAATAGTCCAATATAATCATAAACCAATCAAGTAATTGCAAACTTGTCAAAGCTAATTGTTTACCTCGACTATTCAAATGATCAAGCAAAATTGTCAACGATTTTATTTATATCTAGTCTTTGATTTGATTAGTTAATTGTTTTTCGTAATCAAATTTACCTTTTATTTTTCCTCAAGTCACAAACAACAATCTAATTAATTGTTACCAAAACACCTTAGCAATCAACTGATAACAATTAGCATTAGTGGTTGACTTTTTGGTTATATTTTCCGTTTCCTTTGCAACTCCCACCCAAAAGTCACTGATTGTAATCACAATTTACTGATTATGGTGATGAGGACGATGATAATTATGATGATAAACTGGACGATGGGCAGTTTGATAGTGGATGATAATTGTGACCTTGTCGTTTTTGTCTTCATGAAGTAAAATGATTTAAAAAAATGAACCAAAAAGTTTACCTGAAAACTTGAAAATCAAATCAACATCAACAGTAACTTGTAATTTCAAGGTGAATTAGTTAATCATTTAGAAAAGTGAATTTAATTTAGATTTTGATTACGAAAACAAGAACTGGATTAACATTAAATTTACCGGTGTTTACAATTCCAATTGGTTCCAACAATTAACTTAATCATTCTTGGTGATTGTTTGTATTTGTCTCGGTTTAAAGTTTCAAACTAATCATTTTTTGTTTGTTTCTTAATCATAACTAATCAATATAATTTAGTTAATTTAGTTTCGTCTAATTTAATAATAATTGTTAGATGAATTAATTGATTCACTTTGATGATTTAAATTATGTTGAGATATTTTCGTGATTTCATTTCTCTTGAAACTTGATTAACTTAATCAACTACAATTAACGATTAGTTGATTGTTGCCTCATTGTTTTTCACTTCATTTAAATTGTTACAGTTAATCATGACTTAATTGTTATTAATGTGATTCAATTTGACCTCAGCTTAAATTGTTTTTTTCAAATGGTTAATGAAAATTAGATTGAAAATTGTAAATTGTTGTGATGATTAAGTAAATTGTTTGTTTATCAAGGCTAATCCTTATTATGTTAATCGCCAGGAATCAGAATTGATTTAGTTTAAATTGTTTCATCTGTTGTTTTTACCGCTACTGTTGATTAGCAATTAATTTTTGATTGTTTATTTCTTGATTTCATTTGATTAGTTTATTAATTGATGATTAACTATTAACAAAGTGTAACAACACCCAAATTGTTACATTTAATTTAAATTGTTTACAATCACAACACATCAATTAAATTTAAGATGATGATTTAATCAAAAAGTTAAATCAATTTCCTTAATTTATTAACAATAATTTAACCTGAGAAAACCTTGATTAACTGATTGATTGTAATAATTGTATCACCGTTCAGGTTTTCATACAAAAAAATTGGTTGGGAGTAATTAATGAATATAATTAATAATCAAATCAGATTAGCAATTAAATACATGATTAAATCAAACTAATTTACACAAAAATAAACAACAACAACAACAACAACAATTAACAAAATCAGTAATTACAATTAACTTTCTTTGTCAATCACGTTTACTAATCCAAATGAAAGTAAATTGAAACACGAGTTGTAACAATTAAACCTAAACAAATCCTAATGATAATTAGAATCCTTTAAGTTAATCGGATATAATTAAAAACAATTCGCAAATTATAATTTAATCATCAACATGAGATTAAAATGAACGAAACAATTAACTAACAGTAGGGAAACTTGACCCATGGTCAATGAGATAATCTTTTCAAATGGAAACACAAACAAAAACTGATGATAACAATTTAATCATTTGAATATTTTTCTCCCGAATTTAATTCAATCAATGATTCAGATACATTGAGGAAAAATCTGATTCCTCTTCCCTGTCATTCAAAATCCCCGCTGATCGTTGTGGTACTTCAATTGTCCGAACCGATGCCAAAGACTCAAAGCAATACGAAAATGTGATCATCTTTCAAAACGATCCGATCTACCAAGAGGTCTGGGACTCAGCGCGTCTCTTATCGTGCCGATATCTACTCGAACGTGACCTACCCCTGCAAGAGAAACGGGTTGTATTCAAGCCCTTCATCGTCGATATGCTGGACGTAATCACGGTAAGAGAAAGTTAATTGTTAACCGTCAATCAACACCCGAAAAAAACATCAATCACCCATTAGACCTTAAATAATAAATCAGATTAACAGTAAATCTTAATCATGATAATATATGTATCATGGTGATAATTTTAATCTAATAAATATATGAAATGAAATCATGTCTGTTGGGATAACAATTAAGTTTAAAATTAACCTTTCAACAGGTTAAACTGGTTATCAGTTGGTGTTGATGATGTTTTTTTTTGGGATGAGGATGAAATGAAAGTTTTTCATCATCATAATGTTTAATTGTGTTTGCTGTTGGTGAATTTTTTTCATCACCATTAGTATGATATTAATTGTTTATTGTGTCTGGTTTGTTTATTGTTGGCTAATTGTTGTCTTAATCAAGGTTCCCATGGCTGATTTTGCTGGTGATCAGCATAAAGTTGACTGTTGGATGGATGTTACCAAGGGTCGATATCCAGGTAACTCGCCAATCGATGGACCGGTCAAGGTGGGAGAGAATTTAACTCTGGCCATTTATATTCGAGACTCAAGGAAACGAACCGATATTCGGGTTAAAGATTGTTATGCCTACGATAACGAGGAATCGGTCAATAATAAAAGTCCCGCTTTGTTACAATTGTCCGGTGAAGATGGTTGTCCACTTAAGCCCAAACTCATGGACATTTGGAAACGGACAGCGTCCACTGGTACTTCAGATGCGACGGTACTTGCTTACAGCACTGTTACGGTAAGTTAACTACAATTAGAATCTTATTTTTGTCTTTAATTAGAAATCATTGCGATTGGTTAACAATTATCTTCATCAACGATAAGTGGTCACTCATCACTTGACCATTTTTGTTGTATTCACAATTAGCTTAACTATTAGTATGGTTTATTTTAATGATACTTTCAATGTATTGATTGTATTGATTTTGTTGGTTTGTTGATATTAATCAAGTTTAATCGAGCAGTTTAATTGTTTATTGGACCAATTAATTCCTGTAGATTTGTTTTTCTTACTGATTAAGTTGTTGTATTTGATTTGTGATTATGATTATGATTGATGATCAATTTTGTTTCTATTCTGTTTTGTTTGATTGGCAGAAAGGTAAAAGTTAATTAATAGATTGGTATTAGAAAATGATTGAGAAAGTTAAGGTTAAACAATAAATTGTGATTCTAAATTGTGATTAAACTTAAATGAGCAATCAAAATGTTATCATGTTTATGTTATCACTTTGAAAACTTTACTTTCACTTTGACAATTAACTTTTGCGTATTTGGTTTGCTGTTGATAATTAAAGGCAAATTAGATCAATTTGGTAAATTACTTGAGGGCTAATCATGTCATGATTAGGATTAGGATGATAATCATGAAGAAGAAGATGAAAAAAAGGTCAATTTTTCATAATCGATATAAACGAAAAACTTTTTGCTTCCTTGAAAAACTTTTCTTTTCTCGAATCGACATCAAAATCGATCACAATTTAATCTTGATCATCATTGTGATCAACAATTACCAACTATTTATTTAGACCTTGTTATCATTATCACAATCAAAGATTAATCATGATTAACAGTGGACAGTTTAACTACAATTAACGAGTCAATGATTAGACAAAAAAAAGTGAAAGTAAATTGTATTTCTTTGATTCTCATTTTGGTTCATTAATTAAACAAATTAACTATTAATTTAGGTTGATTAAGTTAATTTTCCAATATGATAACCTACTAAAATCAATCATTAATTAAATCATAAAGAAATGAAAAGCTAATCATTCAAATTCGGACAATTAATTAACATTATTATTATCATTTAATATTAATTATCAATCCAAACAATTTGAAATTCATTATTTTCTTGTATGTGAATATCATGATTACAATAGTTACTGTTGATTAGTTAATTGTTGTTTCAGAATTATTTTTACACTTTCTGATTAAACCATTAATTACCTGACCATTAATGATAATCATAAGGTGGGTGTTGATTAGTTTCATAATCAAATTGAAATAATTTCCTCAATAAGTTGATTTCATCAAAGGAATCAATTGATTGAATCAAATGAAGATGGCGAGAAAAATTAACCTCCTATTATTTGATTTACTAACAGACACAATTTAATCACACAATCAACTAAATTATAATGATAATAAACTATATACACTCACCCTGAATTCATGCTCCATTGAAAACTGACCAGTTAAATTGTTAGTTAATCCAGTTTTCTAATCATTTTCAATCATTGTATTAGCGTTTCTTTTAATTTTATCTCAAACTCAACAATTTAGCCTGAGGAAATGATTAATGTCTGAATTAATTGAAATCAACATACAATTCAAAGGGTTGACCATGGTTGTTATCAAATTGTTGTTGCTAATCATTATTAATTGTATATATTAATATTTGTGATTGTGAAAGGTTTTTAAAGTTAATTTACAATTGAGATTAATTGTGTTTGATTGTTTTTCCAATCTCAATGTTGGATTAGAAATGAAAGTTTCATGTCATTCATGCAAATCGTTAATCCGATTTCATTTATTTCTTTTTGATTTTTTTTTTCTAAATTGTAAACCGATTGTGATTATTTTAATTGTTCCAATTTTGTTTTTAATTGTAGGCATTTAAATTTCCTGAACACTCGAATGTCCATTTAACATGTAACGTTGAACTGTGTAAGAATCAATGTGCCGATAGGTGTTCACTTGAGCCTAAGGGCATTGAGGGTTTAAAGGAGGGTGAGATGATGATGGGTGGTGATGATGATAAGGTTGGGATGAAGAAAACAACAACTTCTAGTGGGTCATCGTCTGGATCAGATGATGAGGATGGAGAAGATGGAGAATCAAGTAGTAAAAAGGTAGATGAGGATGATGAAGGTGGAGACGGAAGTAGTGATGTAAAACCTTCAACCACTTCCGGTTCTGCTGCTGCCACTGAAAAAGCTGATACAAAGAAAAGTGAAAGTGGTGATGATGATGAGGATGAAGATAAATCAACACCAGCTCCAGCTGATGAAGATGCAGATTCTGATTCAGAGACATCATCATCTAAGCCCGATGTTAAGCCTGATTCAAGTTCATCAACAAAGGATGAAGATGATGAAGATTCAAATGACAGGTAAACACATGAAACTTGATCAATTTGATTCTAAATTTTTTCTTCGACGATTTTTTTTTAGTGACAAACCGGCGGAAACTGAACGAGGTGGAAGAAAATCATCATGATGATGATGAAGATGATGAGAGTTCATCAATTGGATCGACATCAACCACTACACCAACTCCAACAACTTCCGCCTCAACAACAACAACAACAACTACAACTACAACAGAGAAACCTGAAGATGCGGATGAAGAGACGGATGAAGATGAAGATGAGAAACCAGAGGTATCATCAACCACAACTTCTACCACAACATCGACCACAACAACAACTACAACAACCGAAGCACCAAGTGAAAAATCTGAAGATGATGAAGATGAAGGTGGTGATGATGATGGAGATGAAGATTCATCTCGAAAACGAAGTCTTCGTCCATCCTCTAAGGATGAAGATGAAGATGATGGAGAGGAAGATAATTTATCCTCTGGTCTTAAAGCCAAAAAGTCATCAAAATCAACATCACTTTCAGAAGATGAAGATTATGATGATTCCCAATCCTCTCGAGGTAAGCGATTAACTTAATCCAATTAAACAAAAATAATAAGATGATGTAAATGTAATTCACAAGAGATTTGATGAAGATAATGATGAGTAATTTTAATTATTATCCTCATCATGATTAATGATATGAGTGAAATTTCAATGAAAGATATTTATTTACCTAATTAATAATCATCTTGATTCTTTTGCCATCTTAATTAAAAAAGCGCATTTCCCAACTAAATTAACTTAATTCCTTTTCTCTCTCTCTCTCTTTTGATTGTGATTGTTTATTATTAGGATCATCAACTTCAGTGTCAACCACTACAACCACAACACCGATTCCCAAGACTCCTTTAATTATCGTGATTAAACCGGAGAAAAAGATTAAAAAGATTAAGGAATCTGCTCGAACTCGAGGAGGACGAATCGAAACTAGGTCACGTCAAGCAGTTCGTTCATCATCTTCATCAGCTAAACTTTCATCTTCTTCTAGATCATCTTCATCTCGCTCTCGAGATTCTTGTTGTTCTGATATAACTTCATCTCGATCTAGAATCTCAACAACCATTAGCACTACAACTAAATCACCGATAATTGCACGATCATCGTCTTCATCTTTAAGGTCAGTTCGACGAACATCTAGTTCAAACGAATCAGAGAAAGTTTTAGCTAAACGAAGTAAATCAACAAGTCGATCAAATACCGAGCGAAGTAAAAAGAAATCTTCAACCAGCACCACTGTTGCACCGATCAGTACTCGAAGGACTTCAACTACTTCGACTACAACGACCAAAAGACCGAGGAGACGAACGACCACCACCACCACAACAACAGCAACACCAAAATCCCTGAATGACACCGCCTCGAATGATGATGAGGAAGATGCGACTGAACCCCCTCGAAAGTTCAGAAACTCAACTCGAAAACCGAAAAGACCTGTTGTTAGAACTCGAAAATCGTTAACAGATCGTTTGTTTATCCCTCATACAAATGAACGCACAACCTCACCACCGACTAAGCCCACGACAACATCGACAACAGAAAGTTCAACAATTGATCGTAAAAGTGATGTTAGAACAACAGTTAAAATCGCATCCAATAGATTCTCAACTCGGCAACATGATTCCAATTTGAGATCAACCTTGAAACCAGCAACAATCCCTCCTTCAGCCTCCTCACGAAATAGCCTTAGGTCAACCTCATCTTCAGCAACACCCAAACGTTTGGCTGATTTTGATGAATTCAAGGAAAACGAAGCCTTAAATGATAATGAAGAGATTAACACAAATCTCCCTAAATCCAGATCATCTTTAACTTCATCCTCATTTGGATCATCATCCTCATCATCTCGTCGTTGGGATGGAGATGAATTGTTCAACCCATTCAAAGAAATTGAATACGAGCCTGTTAGATTAAACTCCAGACGAAATCGAAGATCAACTTACAACTTTTTCGTTAATCCACCTAATCCACGATCGAATTACTAATAACGAGGATTAACATCTTCTCTCTCTCTCTCTCATCCATTCTCCTTTTCATCCAGTGATTAAAACCTTTCATTCACAATTTTAAGACTCATACTATTACCATGAACCTCATCAATCTAAGCAAATTATAACAATCAATTTAAATAATTGCTCTCATTATGAATGACAATTAAGTGATTACCAATTCCTATTGTCACCGCACAATAAAATTAATTAAACGTCAATCAACGTTAACTCAACAATTAGAAACTTTTCCAATCATCATCATCATCATCTTCATCTTCATCTTCATCCTCATCTTCATAATCACCACTTAATCATCATTAATTATTACACATAAATTGATTATAAAAAAAACTACGAACAATTTAAATTTCAATTGAATGTTAATTGAAGACAATTAACAAAAAAAAGTGATCAAGACGAGAACAACTCAAAGCACAATCAACATTAATCAACTTTCATCAATTAGTGCCAATAATTAAATTGTAATACATTCAATCATCAAGGTCAGACTTGATCAATCAACAAACAATCAGTTAATCACTAATTCATTAAACAGTTGTAAGTTAATTAAACAAAAACAACACCTTAATCAACCTTTGACTTTTGATTGTAATCATAATTTGTCTATATTATTACAATTAAAACTACAATTAACCCTCTCATTAATTATATAATATAAACTTTTCAATATGAAACAAGTTTCGAAAACTGAATTAACCTAATTTTTTGATTTGATTTTTTTTCTTCTTCTTTTTTAATAGTAATCAAATTTATTGAGATCAACCAATCAAACAGCAAACCTGTTAATCATAATAATTAAATCATGATACAGTTAAATTACAAACAAATACATCTCTAAGGCTATCAACACCATCAACAATTAACGGATTGATCAATATCAAGAAAAATTGTATAACAGTCATTATTGGATTCCAACAATTAAAAGCCATTTAATTGTTCAATTATTTAAATGATTGATTGTTGATTAATATCACAATGATTTAAAGTTAACAATAAACGGATAATATTAATTTCGTAACCTGTTGAATTTTAATTTGTATTTCAAACTGATTATCTGGTTAACTAATAAATCAATCTAATTGTAAATTAATACACATAAAAAAATGAATCAAGACAAAAATTTAATTGTTTATATCCAATATGTGAATTTGTAATTAGTTAGTTAATTGTTTTTACCAATTAAATCAACTATTGATTGACGAGCAAATTTAGGCCAAAGCTTAATTTTCTTGTATATCAGTTAATTGTTTGACTTATTGGATTGATAATCAATAAAGTATTAATATAGTAGGTCAGGTAACGGTGATTAAGTTGTTGATTAGCGATGATGATCAAATTGATTGTGATGACGGGAAAAGGATCGGGATGAGGATGAAGATCAGAATAGTGATTTGAATACGAAAATCAAGATGAAATTAAGAGGAGGGTGACAGAGAAGATAGAAGATGATGAGGATGAGGAAGATGAAGATGAAGATGGAGATAAGGATGATGAAAGTGAAGAAAAATTGGAAATATTTTCCTTTGACAATGGTTCCCATTTTCCTCGTCAAACTTGGCGTTGTTAAGGCTTTTTCATCCTCATCCTCATCTTAATCTTCATCATGATCATAATCATTGGCAAAGGATAAGTGAAACTTTCTTCATCATCTTCTTACACCAATATCATCATTCATTTGGGAATCAATTTATCAATTAATTTTTTTCTTCTTCTTTGAAACTTTCAACTTCTTTCATCTATTAAACCCATGAAACAGAGTCAAAGATACATGTTTAGATGATACCAAAAGATGCTAAGGATGCTAAAGAGATTAAGATGATGAAAGTAAAGATACAGTGAGAGAGATGAAAATGAGGGGAAAAAGTAGTGAGATTTTTTGGTGAAAAAAAGATGACAATTTAAAGAGAAACAAGATGAAGCAGAGAGAGAGAGAGAGAGAGAGAGAGAGATTGCACACGCCAACTATTCGTATTCATCTTCATCTTTTCATCATCAACATTCTCAGAACTTTCTCATTTTCCCCATGAAATGATGAAGATAATGATATAAATATGAAAGAAAATAACGCAAACTCTCATCATCCGCCTTCATCTTCTTCCTTTCAATGTAATATCAATTTCGTGTGAGGCGTTATCATTGCGACGAGTTTGTGCTAACTGAATGGGTTCGGACCCATGAAGATAAGGAAGATAAGAGAAAGAGAAAGTGAGGGGCTCACAGAAGATCATGTAGAAAGAGAGACAGAGAGGAAGATAGAGGGAGAGAGTAAATTGTATCATCTGAGAGCCGAGTGTGTACTCCAACATATAATATATTCATTTGGATTTCCAATCGATCAGAAAATTTTTATTGATCTACTGCCAATCACAAAGTTAGTCAAACAAATCAATTTACATTTTGTTTTCTTTTTGTTTCTAAGACTTCCTCTTTCTTATCATCCTTATCATCTCTCTCTCTCTCTCTCTTTCTTATCTCCATCTTCATCAGCATCTTCTTCATCCTCATCATCTTTTCTCTTTCTTTTCTTTTTTTCTTCCCTTTTGTTTACCTTTTGTTTTTTTTGCCTCGTTTTTTTTTTCACCAATTGTATTGATCAATAGTTAATTGTTGACTTTAACTTTTTTTTTGATTGTGATTTACTTATTGCGCCTAATTTATCAATTATTTCAACTTAACCGTGACAGTGACCTTAATTGAAGGTAAAGTGTCAATTTAAATCGTCCAATTGTCATCACAATTTAATTTATTTCATTAATTGGTAAGTTTATTATTCATTTAAACAAAGTTTTTCTTTCTTTCCTTAATGTTTAATTGTTCACAAAATGATTCGTATCAGTTAATTGGTTGAGATTCACAATTGTGAACACTTGATTCAACAATTAAGGTTGATTAGTTAATAATAATTCCTAATTTGTTTCATTTTCGTATCTTGATAATCAACAATTTAATAGATGATTATGATTTCACATTTTCAGTTCAACAATTAACGATTAATAATTACAAATGATTCAGTTCAATATTTAAGATTATAAAATCAAAATTGTCAATTTTAATCATTACATTAAATTTAATTGCACCAACAAACATCAAACTATGGTTCAAATTACCTTGACCAGACACAATTATAATTACAATTAAAGCTTAATATTAAATTGTAACTTAAATTGTTTACTTAAACACTTTTCAATAACTATTTACGTAAATGATTAGCTGGAATAAATAAATAAATTGTAAATCATCAATCGATAAGATTAACAATTTACTAATCATGAATGAAAATTTACAAAATAAAAGAGCAATTAACTATTAATTGTTTGCTATAAATGAAACAAAAAATAAATTGTTTATCATTTTTGATGAGTTGAGGTTTTGATTGTTATCATATTAAATTTCATTTCAACAGTTAAAATGAAACAATTAAATCTAATTAATCTTATTACACAAGATGATTGTTGATTAAGTTATGGTTTAATGATTGTAATAGTTAATTGTTGTCTAGTTATTATAATGCTTGTTAATCCTGTTGACTGATTGTTTATTTGTCTACGCCTCATTGTTTACAATGGAAGCATAAAAAAGTTTCCATGAAAATGAGACAGAAACTGATTTCTTGCCAATCTGACAAATATCAGAATTTTCAGAATTTTCAGAATCTTGAGAAGTTGATGAAGATGATGAGGATGTGAAGAGAAAAAAAACCAAGAAGGTGATGATGAAGAAAAGAAAAAGATGAGAGAAAATCTTCTTGTTCATCTTATCATTTCTCTCCATCTTCATTTTGTGAAAGAAAAAAGTTTCTTTGATTGCTGGAAGAGAAAAATATCCAAAGAATGATTAGATTTTGTTTCTTTCCACAATTTAATTAATTATTTTTTCTCCCTTCTATGTGTATATGATTAACATACCTGACAGAGTTTCTGACACCAATGGTGACAATTAACTTCTTTTTCCTTCTAATCATTTAGACAACTTATATACTCTGATATCTACCATATACCATGTATGAAAATCCATTAATTGTTACACTTTGTTGTTGATTGTTGAGATTCGGTAACACTTTGACTTTGTGAGATGATGATGATTATCTGGATTATCATTTGCTTTTTTAGGTTATCCAGAGATTCAGGTTATGAATTATGAATGAGATAAATGAGTTTGAATTTTTGAGAATAACAAAAATACTCAGAACTTTTTTGTTCGACTCGAATCTCATTTACATGTAACATTTTCATTATTTTGGCTCATTTAAGGTTTTTATGGTTCCTTTTGATATGTACATGTGTATGTATTTATGGAATCCAGAATCAGAATGGATTAGTTTTCACTGGTTAATTTTAAATCCTAAATTTGATTGTAATCCTGTTCCTTTTTTTTTGCTTGATTATTTCGTCGTTTTCATCTGTAAATGTAGAAAAAGATTACTATTAGAAAGATTTTGATTGTATTATTAATTGTTGGTATAAGTTACAGATTAGAAACAATTTAAGTGTCAAATCTCATTGGAAAATAAAAACTGATTTACAAATTAAATTGTTAAGCGTGTTGATTGATTTGAAGTGTTAGTTTCAAACAAATAAATTATTACATGTTTATCTTATATCATCATGTAGTAAATTAAATTGTAATCATCTAATGGTGATAAGTATGATAGATATTAACAGCAATTAATCATTGTTATCATGGTTAACAATAATATCCTAATATTAGTAGTTGTTGATTTGGTAACGAAACAAATCAAGTGTAAAAAAGGAAAAACAAATTTAGGTTAACATGGAAAATCAATTGCTAATTGTCAATAGTAATTAAAATTGTCATCATCATACTCTAGTTAAATCAAGGATTAATTAAATTGCTATATTAGAATTGAAGAGATTTTACTTTTTCACAAGAAAATTGCGTTAATTGTGATTTAGGAAAAAGAGGAAAGTTAAACGTTTAAAGAAAAAAGGAAGAGTAAAGTTGCCAAAATCAATTGATTGTATTGATTAACTGATTTAGTTTGTCGATTTGTTTTAATTCTAATTGTAAAAATAAACCTTTCATCAATCTTCTAATGATGATGATGTTTGACGCTCTAATTACTTAATTTAGTTTCTCTAATTTAACTCAATGATAATCATTCTAACAAGAAAAATAGACAATCCAATGATTCTGATAATCACAACAATCAATCAGTAATTAAAATGATATTGAACAACAATTTCATCTTTCTAAATAATACAATTAAGGATAAGATATGATCACATGGAAAATCAATTGATATTTAAATGGGACAATTTAAACGTAATCATTATTAGGTAAACTCTCAATTAGCAATCTAATTGTTGAGAATTAGATTAAGATTGATCATAGTATTTATAGTTAGTATATTATTCATAATTATGGAGAAAAATTAACTTGTAAGAATAAATTAATTCATCTATTCATTTATTTACTTGCCAAGTTTTTTTTTTCTTACCACTTATTATTATATTTCGGTGAGAGTTGTTAATATTAATTGTTATTAGTTAATTTGGATCAAGTACAAGAAAAAAAGTGGATAATTGAATTGGGAAATTGGTTCAAGATTATGATTCCCTAACTAATTTAACTTTTCATTTTACCAATTATTACAATTGATTGAGTAAAATTATTTCAACAATTGTTATTGATTGGAAAAGGAAAAGATTTCATATTAGATTAGGTGGATAAGTCTAATTGATTGTGTTATAGTTTTGGGATTAAAAACTTACAATGATTTGTTAATGAGGGTGATGATTAGATGGAGAGTGTTAATTATTAGTAGAGTTTGACCTGGAATGAGTTGGTGATTTAAGAGATTAATACAGACTATCAATCACTATTGAAAGAAGATTTAAATTTCTTCTTCAAGTAAATTGATATAATCTATTGATCTGATAATCAGTATAATCGATACAGAATTAACCTAATTGACATTGAGTTAACTTGGTATTGATAGTGGATAATAGAGAGAATTGTAAACAAAATGAAATAGATTAGTTACAATTTGGATAAAACATTGATTGATTAACTGGAGAAAATATTGAATCAATTGTTTGCTAATGATTATATTTTCTTTTCACAGTTTTACCTGATTTTGTAAATCAAAATGGAAAGTGAGGTAAATATAATAACCAATATTTTCAGCTAATTTCTTAGATTGTTCCTATATATATTTCTAAGAGTTAATTGTTCTACCTTGATAACTGTTAATTGTTAGGATGAACGTTACAGGCGAGAAGACAAGGAGAGGAAGAAGGCAGAAGTACGAAGACGGTTGGAAGAACAGGCAAAAGCTGCCAAAGGAAAAAGAGGATTTCTAACACCAGATAGAAAGAAAAAATTAAGGGTAAGAGAGAGAGAACGAAAGAGATAAATCAATTGTTTCAATGGTGATGCTGATTAAATTTGGTCTTCTCTTAGGCATTATTAAGACGCAAAGCTGCCGAAGAATTGAAACGAGAACAAGAAAGAAAAGCCCAAGAAAGAAAACGAGTAATTCGTGAGAGAACAGGCCAACCAAAGCATATTGATGCAAGAAACGATGGTAACACAAATCTTTTCATGATGGAACATTTGATTCCTCCAATTCCTAGTGTTTAACCAGTAACATTCTTTTCTCTATTTTTTCCTGAATCAGCTGAATTGATTAAAATCTGTAAAGAGTATCACAAACGAATAACATCCTTGTCCGATGCCAATTATGATGTAGAAGTTGAAGTAAAAAGAAAAGATATCATGGTAAGTGAATGTTTTTTTTTATTCTAAAAAGAATTTACTCACCATGGAAAATTCCACATTCCACAACATGGTAACCAATTAACAGTGAAAAACCAAAGTCAGTCAATTGTTCAAAGAATCAACCAAAAAGAATAGAATAGAATTTGTAATCCAAGACAAAGACAATATTATAGAAAATGGAAAACAAGTCAACAGATTAAATCATCGCCATTAATGTTTATAGGGGAGAAGAAAGAAAGTCTTTTTTATGATCCATGACATGGATTCCATGTTAATTTATATTAGTGTCTCACAGACAATTGATTGTTTGGCATTGATTCAAGATCAATTTTGATTACGATTATAATCAATTGATATCCTTTTCATACAAGGTTTATTACACTTAAAATCGTCAAGTGGTTAATCAGTTCATTATATTGACACTTTGAATAGATGAAGAGACACAGAACAAAAACAGACAATTTAGAATAAAATCTTTTCCACTTTGATTGAAAACTAAGGAACCACCAAATTCCCAGTTAGATAATAAAACAATATAACCGACAATTAGAATATAAAATGAGATCAAAATAGATTAACTTTTAATCCGAAGATCAATCAACAGATTAACATTAATGATTCATTTTGCCGGTAAAAGAAAATGGAATCAGTGAGTAGACTATTCAAGAGATGGCGACACTGTTTTCGAAAAAAATTTTTTTGTTTTTCTCAAAAAGAGAAAAAAATTAATTAAATTTTTTTTGTTTCTTTTCATTTTTATCCTCATCTTTTTTTCCTCTCCGTGAGTTTTTAACATGTGAAGGTTACAACAAGTTAGAAATTTTTGGCATAACTTGCACTGGTTGCTTGTTTCTTTTCTCTAACATCTTTTTACTCATTGGCAATAATTTGGATGAATAGAGAGTAAGGCAAGAACCGTTAAGTTATGTTTCTGCCTTAAAGTGTTCTGTATGTGATTCATTTGGAAAAAATTTCCCACTCTTTTTCATTATTAATTAGATGATTTACTTTTTCTTCCATCTTACATCTTTCAACAATCCAGTTAATATTGATTTTCTATTCTATCACCACTTATAAGGTGATTGTCTATTTGTCTTCTTGTTCATCTCTATTTCCGAGTCAATTCATCATAACCTGAGAGAGACACTTTTTTGTTGCTACCGTTTTTTTTTCTTCCTCTCTCTTGATTTCTAAAACTCTCTCTCTCTCTCTACTTGATTGCTCTATGGTGATGATAACCTGAGATTCTACTTTGGAATTTTTTGTTTCACATAACTAATCTTGGTTTTCTTTTTTACTTCTCAGCTTCAAGAATTGAATGCCCAAGTCTGTGACTTACGAGGTAAATTTATCAAACCTACATTGAAAAAAGTATCCAAATATGAACAGAAATTGGAGCGGATGAGAGAAGTGGCTCAAAAGGCTGCCATGGATTTCCGAGGAACTTTGAAAAAGGTCAAATCTGGAGTATTCAATTTCACCGATACGGATACAGAAACTACTAAGAAACCTGAAAAATCTGAAGAGGAAATATAAATCTAAGATGTTCATTTTCGTCATCGTCCTTTTTTTGGTCAAAACAAATGTAAGAACAATTAACCTTTCAACTACTGACCAGACTAATTAATAACTGTTTATTTCTCTTTTACCGAAATGGTCACTTTACAGTAACACCCTTTTTTCGGACAAACATCATTTTCTGATTTCATGATCTTATTCTCTTTCCCTTACCTTTCAATCTCCTTTTTCCTTCTATTACTTTTCCTCTCACTTGTTTCTTTTTCTTTCCTTATTCTTTTTCCTCTACCATACAAAATTCAACAACAACGAAAAAAAAACAAACATTAATAGATCACTAAACGATTATATAAACACAACAACATTGATTATGATTGAACTGTTTTAATTAAAACAATAACCTGGGTCTTTTCATGAAGAAGACAAGGAATCAAGGCAAACCAAATGACAACCAAATTAATACTCAAACAAATTGAATACTAATCTCTAAATAATCCAAAGGCTAATCAAATGAACCAGTGAACATCCCATTAATCAAGGTGAACAATTAAATCAGCTAACCAACCAGTTTAATCTTAATTCGAAAAGCGTATTCTTCCGGAATCAAAGTGTTGTAATTGAATTAAATGTTGATTGTATCTCGAAGTAAACGAGTTCATAAAGTCTGTTGATGACAAGAAATTTTGAGGACAAACAATCAGCGACCAGTTATCCCAATTAAAACTTATTCTCATCAATCAATTAACCAAATTAACAGGAAAAAAATGATAATATCCAAAAACAATAAGTTCACCTTGTTTGTTACGAAATCAAGAGAGAGAGAAAACAAAATTAACTACAATTAACGATTCCCCTTAATCACTATCATTAGATTGTGTCAACTGAATGAAGGTCAATGCATCGACTGTGAACAATGTTAACAATCAACAAATTGTCAATCATCTCGTAATGAAATAACTGTTTACATCCGGAAATCGGTAAGAAAACTTTAATTCCAAGGTTAATTGTTAAGTTAAACAATCATAAGGACAGAGAAAATTAAACAGTAAATGATCAACCGGAAAGACAGAAATTGTAAATTTTAGCTAAATTGTTTACGATTTAACTTTATTAGTAAAACTGTGGCGTGATAACAATCAGTCGATAAGAGAAATTAAATTTAATTCTAATCAGGTCAATTCTAAAACTGTCCAATGTAACCATTAACGCCGTTAACGTCAACGAACGTTGATTAACACAAACTAACTAATACTTGATTAACCGGACTGATTTAAATCATCGTATTAATTTTTGTTTTTCATTAAGTGAATTAATTGTGAACAACAATCAAGAAAATAAATATTTATCAACGTCAAGTTTTCAGTTTGACTTTGATTACCTTTAATTGCTGATCGTTAACGATCATAAAGTGAACTCTTCTTTTCATTAAGTTGATTGTGAACAACGAAAATGTTGACCAGCGGATTTAATTGTTTACCAATTTGCTTGTTAATTGTTACAATTTGGTATCTGCCTAATTGCCAATGTTGGCCAAGCGGTGCTCCGGAAAACGCTTGTGCCACTTTGAGTCCAGGTCACGGCGCTAATCAAGGTAAACCAGGATCGAGCTCGCCCTATGTGATTACCCAATCGCACTCTGATTACAAACCTGGTGAAAGTGTTCAAGGTAATTATTGTTTTATTATCATGTGAGAGTTAATCATCTACAATCATCAGTTAATTGTTGTTTATTCAATTTTCAGTTGTCATCAAATCGGCTGATCCTCATTCATTCAGAGGGATGTTAATTCAAGCCTATGATCCGACTACTGGTCAAACTGTTGGTAAATTTCAATCTGGTCGAGGGCTGAAAACAATTGATTCATGTTCATCGGTCAGTCATTCTGATCGACGAGGTAAAAGGTCAGCAACTTTGATCTGGGATGCGCCAGCCAATGGTCAATCAGGTAAAGTTTTATTCAGAGGGACAGTTGTACAAAGATACAGTGAATTTTATGAAGGAATTGAATCAACTATTTCTCCTTAATTGCAACTATTAACTAGTATAATCCAATTAATCTATTAATTGTTTACCTTGTTATCTCTGTCAATTGAACAATAAAATTTCAAATCCTTTGAAAAGTTAATCGTTTAATCGTATCTTTTAATTACTTGTTACTCGATCTGAGTTATCGATATTAAGATAATCTGATTATAACAAGAGATTACCTTCAAATGACCTTCGAAAATGTTACCAATAACCTTGACCTTTCGATGTCAATATCCACCGAAGTCTCAATTCTCTAGGACTAAAAGTTTCGTGCGATCGACAATGAAATGACCTTAAATTAGCCAATTATTTAAAAATGTAATCCGATTGATTTAATTGTTCATTTTAGTTGTTGATTGTTTACAAAATTGTCGGTAAATTTAGGCCTGGACTTAAACAAGATGGACGTGATGATCCGTCAAGAAAAGTCCATTTGAGTTAATGATTTTCATGTAAAAATTGAATCAAGATTCGTAATTAAATGAAGACAATCAATTTGAAAAATCAATCAAGTTGAAATGATAAATTATTTACATTTAAAGCTTAATGAACAATTGGTTGATTGATTAACAATTTAGATTTTTGTGATTCTTTTTCACTTTGGTGGTTACGATTTACTTTACATTTATTTTCCAGAGTTAATTGTTGGTTGATTTCTTATGAAAATTGATTGTTGATGATCAAGATTAACTGTTGAGAAAATGAGGAAAGGATTAAAAGTTAATGGAATCGTAGTTTTAAAATGAATCGCAAGGAAATTTCAACTTACAATTAAGATCATTTTTACTGGTGTTTAATTGCTGGTAGATTAATTGTCCTGATTGATTGTCATTAAAAGCATTTAAAAGTGTATTGATTAAATATGCTTGTGGTGATATAACTTTGATTATGTTTTTCTTGTAATCGTTTCGAGACCAGAAATAAAAAAATATCGATGGCAATTCAATTGATTGATTACGATGATGATTAGTTGATTGTTCATTAGCTGCTAATGATAATTCCCATTTGAATTTACTGAAATCCAGAGTGATTATCAATCTCTATTAATTGTTATACAAATAAAAATACAAACAATTAACAATCGATATTAAGACATAGAGACAATTAAAATTTAGATAAATTCACTGAAAACAATCATTGTCATTGTTATCACAATCAACTGATTGTATATTCAATTATATGGGTCATCAGAATTGTATTAATTTATAATAATATTTCACAACAATTAATCCCGACAACAACCTTCAGGCTAATTAGTAGACTCAAAACCGGAAGCATAGTTAATTATTGACTAAGCGAAATCAACAATTAACTAATATACTTTGTCGCTCAAGATATTGCATTTAATTATCAAAACAATTAAATGGTAAACAATTTACTTACACTGTGTTTCTCATCAATTATATGAACTCCTATCGGATTAATTGCAATCCAAACTTGAACCAATCGATTACTAATTAAGGCAATTAACTTTTTACTCGACCTTTCAATTAGCCCATGAAAATAAGCTGATCCATAATAAGGTAAAGGCCAACACAATTGTAAATAATTCCGATACAATTGAGTTTTGTTAATTATTGGTCCTAATCGTCGGTAATAGTTGATGATTTTTGATTCTAATGAAGATGATTGAGTAAATGTCGATGTGATCGAGTTAATTGTTGACCATTTGGTTGAAGTTATCACTGGTCGATGATTAGAACCAAACAACTGGGTTATAATTGATTTCAAGTATTTCGATGTGTGTAATTTAGGGTTAAATGGGCCAATTTCAATCGCCGTTTGAATGGCCGCTAATTGTTCAAAAGTATCGACGGGATAACGGCCATCGAGCACATTGACCTTCGCCTCCTCGTACAGTAATTGAAGCACATCGGGATCGGTTGTTTTCATTTCGTCTCGTTTTTGGGTGAAAATATTTCGTTGGAAACTAACGATTGGCTCACAATTAACCGATGAACAATTAATTGCTCCGTTACCCGAACCATGATCAAAGTAACTCTCTTTGGTGTAACCATATTTAGATGATAAACTTTCCCAATGTTTAAGCACTTTGATCGGTCGGTGAAGAGGTTTTAATTGTAATTCCAAGGTGGGAGATGTAATCCAAAGGGTGAAAAATTTAATCAAATCATCTTGACCTTTGGTTGGATATCTGTTGGTCACTCGATCGGATGAATTAGTCTTTGGTAATATATTGGTGATGGATGATGAATGTTGATTGATTGGTGATTTAATTGTTCCCGTTGTTGTTGATCGAGGTGTAAACCAAGTATCAATCACTTTATTAACAAGTTCCTGGGTTGTTGCAGCTTCTGATGCTGACACACAAATACCAATACGGTTCATTAAAAAAACACACAATTCATCAATTGATGACAAATTTTGTGTCTCCAATTCATTCATAATTAGTTGATTGTCCTCTTAATTCAACCTACTAATCAAATTGACCTTTCACTTATCACATAGATCTACAAATAAAAGTATCACATTGTTTTCTCATTGATCTTGATGTTTGACTTTTTTCTGTCACAATCAAATGAAAATGTTGATCACTGATTGTTGATGTTGTTGCTAAATTGTCATGATAATTGTTGAATATGATTCCTGATGGTTAACTGGTTCAAATGATGATTCTGTCTGATAATAATCAACGAGTAGAGAGAATGAAAAATTATAATTTAGAAAAAAATTTTCTTCTCATTGATTGTTAAAGTTTCTTCAAGGGTAATTGGTGAATTTAACGAAAAGTGATTAACGATCATGATTAAATGATGATGATGATTAGTTTTAGAATGATTAACTTTGTTGACACTTTTTTTTTGCTTTTGTTTGGTTTGGTTTTTTACGGCTTTAGATTATTGATTGTGATTCCTTAATTGTTGATATTCGCGTTCAACCATCATGTTGATGGTTTTAGTTAATCGCTCCACTGATTGTTAAAATATTACAACAATTTAAAACTTGTTCATCACTGATTAACTAACTGGTTAATTTTTAAGGATGACACTAAACGAGTTGATTACTTTTTCATGTTAACAGTTAATTAATCAATTATATACCTTGTAGACAACGGGAATAATGATTGTTATTATCGTGATAAATTTAATCACCAATAATGATATTGATTAACTTGATTTTTTTAGTTAAATTGTCACAAAACAATATAACCTTTTCACTTTCACCTTTTATCATTGTGTCATCATTTCTGTTTTCCTCTTTGATTGTTATAATTAACAGTTTTCATTTTTACAATCTTATTCAAGCGATTGACTTGATTCTTACTTGGTTCATCTTAATCAACTTAATTAACTGTCTAAAACCTGACAGTCCAAGTTTAAGGAGTGGTTACAATTAACCAAATTGACATAATTAAATGGATTAATCATCACAATTTAAATCAAGGTTATTGTCCTTGGTATTCAGTTAAAGTTGATTAAGATTGTCAAGGTATAATTGTGTTTGTCTACAATAACTATTAGGATCATTTCCCTAATCACTTTACAATTAGTTAGAGTTACACAAGTTTAATGACTTGTAGTTGTTTGTATCAATTATATTAAGACTTAAATATATATTGACATGGGTTGTGGTGGATAAATACACACAACTACAAATCGGTGTTACTAACTATGAACAATCAAAGGTGAGCCTCGTTAATTATTAGGATAACTATTTGATACTAGAAACTAAACCAGGTTGGTGCTTGATGGCGATCCCAATTTTTCCTTCTTATTTTATTGGCTTCCTTTTCCATTTGTTTCTTGTAATTGACAAATTCAGCATCTTCCTCGACAATCTTTTTCTCTGGAAATAGATTAGGCCAATTAAACTCTTTGTCCTTTGGTAATGAAACATAAGCTATTCGGTAATCATCTTCTTTCACTAGATAGTTTTTTCCAATGGCTCTTTTCCTATCTCCCCATCTAACAGTCGATTGAACAGAAACAACAGGTAACTTGTAAATCTTTTCCAAATAATTTCTAACATCAAAATCATTCATTCTAAAAAGAAAAGGATCAACAAAGAGAATAGAAATTAGTACTCATATTGTAATAGTAAAAAAAAAGAAAAACTATTCAATGTACTTACTGAACAGGGACTCGAAAAGTAACCACATTTTTAGGATCACCTTCTTTTGGTTTAAGTAATTTCATCCAAAAATTAGGTAAATATATTCTTAATTGTGGATTACCTTTAACATACATTGGATAATATCTGAAAGACATGATGACTAAAAAGAGAAAATGAAAAAAAGAAAAAAAATCAAATGTTGTGATAGTAAAGGTAATTAAGAGAAGTAAATCAGGTAACATGTTCTACATTAGAAATAGAAACGCTAAATCAACTTACCTTAATTTAATTAGCTAATTGGATGGAACAATTAAAGTGAAAATTAAGAATTGTGATAATCAAAACAATGAAAACATGAGAAAAATTTTCAGAATAGAAAACATATGATTCCAGTCACGTGATTATTTCTTTTTCTATTCTTAATCAATGTGAAGAATCAGCAAACAGAAGTTACTATTGAATTACCTTTCGATTAACATAATTCTTCATCGACTTCATTATCCAACTAATTAATTAACTACCAACAACTCAAACAATTACAATTAAGAAAAGAATTAATTTTAATTAGACTTAGAGTGACATCTCTTGAGTAGAAAAAGAAACTTTCTCATGTCAACAATTTATTTCTCATTTAATTGTAAACAAAGTAACAAAGTGATTATCAGTTGATTGATTGATTATTTTCGTTAATTTGATTAATTTTACAGTTCCACTTTTCCTTTAATTTAAATGTAATTTGAGAGAAATTTATTCACATCAAATTAACTTTTTATTCTGTTCTATTAGCGCCATCTATATGTAGAGTAGAATATTAACCGAGAAGATTTTGATTTGAGAAGAAAAAAAATTCTAATGATCAGAATTGTAATCATAAGTGTTTTTGTTTAATTCTAATTGAAGGTTAATTTTTTTCGTGATCCGTTTTTGTTTTTATCTAAATTGTGTTGTTAATTGCTTGCTAATTCTAATTCTTTGATTTCTTTTGTTTAATTCTCTCAGTGTGTGGATGTAGAATTTTTTCTTCTATCTCATTTTCTCTCTTTCTCTCTCTCTCTCAGTCTCTTTTTCTCATTTTCTCTTCTTTTTATGTCTCTAAACATTAATATTGTTGTTTTTTTTTTTATATTAATGGCCTAAAAAAAGAAAGGTAAAAGAGGGAAACAAGTTAACAATATAACAATTGTAAGATAAGAAGTATTTCTGTGATCATATATACAGATCATCATCATCACCATCATCCACATTAACAACAACATTGTTTTTATTGTTCTCTTTTCTTTTTCTTTCTCTCCTTTCTTTTCTAAAATCATTTTTTTCTCTCACCATGATGGATAAAGCTATGGAGAAGAAAATTGATAGACGTTTTCCATCTTCACCTTCATCACCAGCCTCATCTTCATCCCTACACTCGGAGTCAATGAAACCTGGAGAGGAAGAGGAGAGAGAAGGTTTTTCCAATTCAACAATGATCAAAATGAACTCTTCAACAATTGAAACCCCGGTGACCATTGAAGATTTGATTCCTTCTTCAGTTTCATCTTCATCATCTTCTTCATTACCCTCTTGGGGTTTCTCTTTACCCCAATTTCCCGAGTTACCCAAATTTCCCAGTAACCCGTTACCTTCAGTGATTACACAAAATCTTCAAGGTATTCGGGGCTATTTCCCTTCGAATTTAAATTTACCCAATTTTTCTTCTGCCATGACTTCTATTCCCATGTCATCAGTTATTTCCTCTTTTCCCTCTATGCCATCAATGCCCTCAATTCCATCAATGGTTTCTTCAGCAATTAGTGGTGTCTCCTTTCAACAACCCACCCCAATAAAAACATGGTCTCAATTAAAAGATTCAGTTCGTCGGGCCCATCGTAAATTATTTGAAATCAGTGGCAGAGTCCCATTCGCATTCAATTTTGCTCAACTAAATCAAGGTAACACTGTGATTGGAACCCGAATTTATTTCCTCTGCTCTATGCTTAATGGTTCAGAGATTACTCTCTATTATTGTGATATCTTTGAAAATAATGGTACTAATAATTGTGTTAAAACTGAATCAACCTCTTCTCAATCATCTCTTGACTCTGATATGGATGCAATATCTTCAATTAAACAATCTTCTGAGCCCAAAGAGGAATCTAATGGTACAAGTTTCGCAATAAAATTATCAAACTCTGAAAACACTTCAAAATCAAATGACAATCCTACAATTAAAGGTGCCCATAAGAATAAGTATATCTCAATTGAAGATGAAACAGATAATCCTGATGATGATGATGATCAAGATGAAGAAGAGGAAGCAGATGATGAGAACGATGAAGATGAAGAAGAGGAAGAAGATGATGATGGTATGCCCATCGTTGATGATGAAGAAACTATTGAAAATAATAGTTATGGTGATTCCAATCAAGGGAAACCAACCAATCTATTAAGAAACTTTGAATGGAAACCATTAATTGATTTAAACATGAAAAATTGTCTCCCCGTGGAAACTAATTTAGATTCATCATCTAACAATTACCAAGAAAAATTACAATTAGAAAGAAAACGAATCATGTTCAATGGAATTACCTCTTACGAGTATGAATCTAATTGTAAACGTTTCGTATTTACCTCAAATGGTCATCTATTTTATTTTGATGATAATGGTTCACCTCCTTATCATCCCATACGAGTTAACTCAAATAGTAAATCAGCCAAAATTAACCCTGCTATTTGTCCTACTAATCCTGATTTGATAGCATTCTTTTCGGACAATGATGTTTGGGTGACCCACATAAAAACTGGTCAAGAACTCCGGTTAACAAATACCAAGTACAATGCCACTCGAAGAGCTCTTTCAGCCGGTTATCCGTGTTATGTGATACAAGAGGAGTTTCGTCGATATACCGGATTCTGGTGGAGACCCGGTCACTCTAAATCCACCGGTGAATCAACCAAATTAGAGTATAACATTTTATACGAAGAGGTTGATGAAAGTGCTGTTGATTTAATGCATTTACCAACATCAACAGGAATCGTTGAACAATACAGATTTCCTCGACCAGGTAAATAAATAATTTATTACAATTACCTGTTGATTGACATGTTTGGCTTTAGTTAAATTGCATCTGCTAACTTTTTTTTTTCTTGCTGTTTGCTTGTTGCCTTTTGATATTATTCATTGCATTTCCTTTTTTTTTTATTTAATTATATAATACATGTATTGATTGTCTTTTACTCTTTCTCTTTCTTTCACTATCTTCTCTCTTTGTTTTTCTATTTTGATGAAAACAATTTATTTCTTTAGGAGGATCTAATGCTTCATCAGACTTGAAATTAGCAAGTTTCAAGTTTGACGAGTCAACCCAATCACTGAGCGATTCAATGAGTGGACCTGTTCCTGGATTACAGTCTCTCTACTCGATTTATCCGCACTTTGAATACTTGGTGAGATGTGGTTGGCACTCTCGTGACACTGTTTGGGTTCAACTTCTCAATCGTCAACAAAAACATCTAGTCTTGGGTTTATTCAGTTTGAGTAAATCTTTTCCAGCTCAAATACTCCTTCGAGAAGATAATAGTCCATATTGGGTCAATGTTCATGATTTTATCTATTTCCTACCTTCGAATGCTGGTAATAATAATCATCATCACTCTAGTTATCAGCAACAATCAAATAAAGAAGAGGTAACATTGAGACCAGGTAGTGAAGTTAATTTTTTTTGGATCTCAGAACGAACCGGATTTCGCCATATTAACTTAATTAAAGTGCAATTAGTGGCTGATGAAGAAGATATGAGAAGTAAAATTGCAAAAAAGGAGCATCTCCAAAGGGATATTAGTGGAAATGGTACTGCAAGTGAATCAAATAATAACATGGAAGTGGAAGATAAAAATGATTCAAGTCCGAACCATGAAAATGATCTCATTGGTTCTGATCTCCAGTCATTGCTTTTAGAAAGGAAACAATTAACCTCAGGTGAATGGGAAGTGAATAATAAGGAAATTTGGATTGATGAAAGGAACGAGATTGTCTATTTTGTGGGTCTCAAAGATACACCTTTGGAACGTCATCTTTATCGTGTCTCTTATCGAGATGATTGTAAACGAATCCAACGACTCACCGAATTGGGTTTTTCTCACACCTTGATAACATTTAATCCCAACTGTGATCTCTATGTAAACATACAGAGTAATATCTCTATCCCTCCGTTTGGTTTTGTCCATAAAAAAGTCAACTCATCGTCTTCATTTTCATCACCATCATCATCACCTTCCTCATCCCAATTACCCAATCACTTTGGTCAATCAAACTCATCGCCAGCAACCGGGATAACATCAAATTCAATTGACACAATGTACTTCAAGAAACTTGGTTTCATACTCAACAATTCATCTCACAATTGGAACATATCTATGGATTCCAGTTGCTCCTCTTCAGATGCACCATCAACTTCAACAATCATGGTTGACAATGAATCGGCCGACAATGTTTCCGGTATGTCGAAACCTGAACTACTCACTTACCGATTAAAAAGCTCTGGTGACATTGTTTATGGACTGGTTTTCAAACCTGAATTCATGGAGTCCGATGTTAAATATCCTTGTGTTGTCGATATTTATGGTGGACCTGAAGTTCAGGTTGTAACGAATGCTTTTAAATCAACCCGACTGGTTCGTCGTCATTTACTAGCCGGAGAGGGATATGTTGTGGTTGCCATTGATGGTCGAGGTTCACATAATCGAGGTGCTAAATTTGAGGGACACATTCAAGGTCGAATTGGTCAGGTTGAAATAGCCGATCAAGTTGAAGTTCTTGAATGGTTAGCCGAAACCACTGGTTACATTGACATGTCCCGTGTGGCAATTCATGGTTGGTCTTATGGTGGTTATTTATCCTTAATGGGTCTCGCTCAGAGACCTGACATATTTAGAATAGCGATCGCTGGTGCTCCGGTAACCAATTGGTCTCTCTACGATACAGGGTACACCGAACGGTACCTTGACACCCCGTACGCTAATCAAGCTGCCTATGCAAAAGGGAATGTACTTAATTTAGCCAAAAATTTTCCTGATGAAGAAAACCGTCTTCTTCTAGTCCATGGGTTAATGGACGAAAACGTTCATTTTATACATACCATGCAATTGATTACAGCCTTAATTAAAGCTGGTAAACCTTATCAAATTCAGGTAAATTAAAAGAGACAAAGAAAAATTAGATTTTCCTTATCTTACAATAACAATGATAATTAATTATACTTATTTTTCCTCAATTATCAAAAAGGTTTTCCCATCTGAGAGACATTCTCTTCGTAAAGCTCCTTCCTGTGAACATAATGAGACTCAACTACTATTCTTCCTGGAACAGCATCTGAAACAATTCAGTACAAAGCTCATCAATTTATGAGATTATAAAAAAATTCGCTAATCTCTGATACACACACACACAATTTTTTTCCATCCATGGAACTTGATCATTCATGTGATTCCTGTTAATCATTAAAAACTCACACTAAACATAAACACTCATATATGTTAACCATGATTCTTTGGATTTAATTGGAATCTACAGTTGAATTGATATTTAACTATTATCGTTGATTGAAAATCAACAATCAACTATTACAATTATAATACTTGAAAGGTGTTTTTCTGTATTTTAACCAACTCTTCATCTAAATTTGTTTCAACTGATCATTTTGATTTTCTACAATCAAGCAGAATTGAACACATGACACAATTTGAATAGGATGATGATTATTATGTGTGAGTTGCACAATCAAATGACAGTTGAAAGTAACATTTTCAAGTACTAAATTGTTTGTTTTGAGAAACAAGAAATAAGAGTAAAGAGAAATCAAGACTTTGTATAAAAAAAACAAAACACTTTTACCAAAAAGGATTAATTGTTTGATTATTTTCTGTTATTCGATATAATCAAAGGTTGTTTTTGTTTACTAACAAAACCATTTTTAAAGTCTAAGGCAGTCATTTTTCCATAATTTTTCAAAGCTAATTGTCTAAATGTTACCCATTTGTTGTCTTTACACTTGAAACAGATTCCATTTAATCGAGGATTGAACATCACTAATCCTGGTTTATCGTGATGAATACAACCAAATACAAGTCTTTCGAGTTTATCCCAATCGAGTTTAACTGTATCTCTATAATCAACCATCTCCATTAGGATTAAAGGTGACCCATTAATCCAGTCACAATAAATTGGAATGAAGCTATCATAGGCACGATAGATTTTATCGATAGTACAACTTGTCATAGTTTCCCAGTCAATGTAACCATCACATTTTTTAAGTTTCGTTGCATAAGAAACGCCATCAGTTGATTGTTCAGTAGAATTGGATAAATAATATTCAATGTTTGTCAAACATTTCATCAATAATGAGCTTCCAATTTCAGCTAAATTGTGATATAAATCGATTGATTTAGTTGATTCACTTATTGCAACTCGTTCTTGAGATAATATTTTCCCAATGTCAAATTTTTTTGGTTCAATTGTAACAACACTAACACCAGTTTCTTGGTCACCATTTAAAACTGCTCTCTGAATCGGTGTAGATCCACGATACTTAGGTAATAGACTAGGGTGAACATTTATCATACCATATTTACAGTTTCGTATTGATGGACTATCAATTAATTGTCCAAAAGAAACAACAACACCCAAATCATATGTATCAGGTTTTAATCTGCACGGCCAATGATGAACCATTAATCCTTTGTTTTTAGCAAATTGACTGACATGATTACGATCATTCTGAGGAGAGCAGAAGAACAATGAGATGAAGATGGAACGATGAATATAACAATAGTTAAACAATTAAAATTCTTACCTTTGTTACAACTTCCAATCTATTAATGGTCAACTCAGATGATGGCGAATCAACAAGATGATGTGAAAGCTTTTCCAAACTTGACAAACTAAAGGCATCTGAACCATAGAAAACAATTGAAAGTGATGACTGACACCTTCGTAAATTATTAACAATTAAACATTTTCGCTTGAACATAGAAAAAATTAGAAGATAATTTACCATTTAAATTATCAAAATAAAAGAAAAACAAAAATGAGTCAAAATTTCCATAGCAACCAGACACATTTTCCTCCAAAGAGTAACAGTAAACGACCAGACAACAACCTGGAAATAGCTCATTCACATGAACTCGCTATTTTCACGGAATTTTTATTCAGAACGAACCGGATTTCGAAATATTAACTTAATTAAAGTGTAATAAGTGGCTGATGAGGAAGATGTGAGAAGTAAAATTGAAAAAAAGGGATAAGGGATATTAGCAGAAATGGTACTGCAAGAGAATCAAATAATAACATGGAAGTGGAAGATAAAAATAATTCAAGTACAATTAAGGAATCACAATTAATAATTTAAAGCCGTGAAAAGAAGTGCCAACAAAGTTAATCATTGAAAAACTAATCATCATCATCATTTAATCATGACGTTAATCACTTTTTGTTAAATTCAACAGTTACGAGGACAATCAACTAATTATGAATGAATTGGAGACACAAAATTTGTCATCAATTGATGAATTGTGAATTTTTTAATGAACCGTATTGGTATTTGTGTGTCAGCATCAGAAGCTGCAACAACCCAGGAACTTGTTAACAAAGTGATTGATACTTGGTTTACACCTCGATCAACAACAACGGGAACAATTAAATCACCAATCAATCAACATTCATCATCCATCACCAATATATTACCAAAGACTAATTCATCCGATCGAGTGACCAACAGATATCCAACCAAAGGTCAAGATGATTTGATTAAATTTTTCACCCTTTGGATTACATCTCCCACCTTGGAATTACAATTAAAACCTCTTCACCGACCGATCAAAGTGCTTAAACATTGGGAAAGTTTATCATCTAAATATGGTTACACCAAAGAGAGTTACTTTGATCATGGTTCGGGTAACGGAGCAATTAATTGTTCATCGGTTAATTGTGAGCCAATCGTTAGTTTCCAACGAAATATTTTCACCCAATATTTTCTTTATACAAAGCTAGACTAGCATAATCAAAGAAAATAATTAATTTTTAATTATTAATTAAGGAAACATTCTCCTACAAGGAACTTCTTTATCACCTGTACTATTTCGCATAGGTATTAATGACATTTTGAAAAATTCAATCAGCATAATCTTCAGATATTCTCATATACTGATGATATACTTGTTTTTGCGACTCAACTATTATATTCAAAATTCGGGGCAAAATCGAACCAGCATTACGAGCTATTGTTGTGACAATTAACTTTGATAAATGTCAAACGCTCCAAGAAAAGCAAAAATTAAAAGAAGTAAATTGCTAGGATTTGAGATATTTGAAGGAAAAAGTAACGGTCGAATCTGTCAATTGAAATTAGATAGACCTAAATTTAGAATTAATTACATTAAATTATTAACAATAGAAAAATTTAGAATTGACTATGAAAGTTTTTAGTCACAATCTATGCTTCATATAGGAGTTTCTTCGTTTAGAAACAATAACAATTATCAAGAAACAATTAAAACGTTAATCATTTATAGTGGATGTATCTCCTCGTTGCCAGTTAGGCTGGAATCTGTTCAGCACAACCATTTGTCGATGCTCTACATGTGCCTGAATAAAATTACCTTTATTCTTTTTAAGTCGAGATTGACAATTTTCACCTGACCAAGAAGGATGATATGAATTAAAATCGCCCATAATAAGCATGAAAACATCTTTGAGATGAGTATCACGTAAAGAGAATATGGAATTAATGGTGGATTGAAAATCATCATCACTTAATTTACTCTGATTTGGTGACAGATAAGCCAAGACAACTAACAGTATGAAATTACATCAAAGAGTTTTAATCGCAATCCAATGAGAGTTCACTTTATGATTTGCTCTAAACTCGAATCAGTCACTATCTCGACAAAGCAAAGCACAACAAGTATTGTCAAGCGAATTTATCACATTTTGTTGATAACAATTGGAGTAAACTTCACGACTAGCGACTTAAGTAAAACATCCAATGTCACTTAATTCGCTTTCACATCGATTGTAGAATAACTCAGTGGCTCGACCAATACGAGCACAATTACCATATAAAATATCCAGAGGGTTAATTATTTTCATCATCGTTAAACAGAAATCAATTCAGTTACTAAAACATTTAAAAACGAAAGCCCATTTAAATGTAAATTTATTTTATTGCCGCGCCTTCCGCTAGGGTGACTTTAAAATGAATATGTTGGCAAATGAAATTATTGGCAACTACTCGTCTCCTAACCAGAGACGAGTTAAAAATAAAGATGAAGATGAAGATGGAGATGGAGATACTAATTATTAAAATACCATGTAAACAAAATGTATCAGTAGTTGGGACGAATTTCTCCATATCATCATGTTAAAAGTGAATAAAGTGTTGATAAAATAAAAGGTGATAATTAAATTGAATAATATTTAAAGATTAGTTCAACAAATGGTCCGACGAGCTGGATACGGTGAATGTTTCTTGAGTTCGTGATAAGTTTACATTTTCTGTGTCCATCAATTATAATTATCAATCAAAATTTTGCAAATTGTGCTACTCTCTTTCAATTTAACTTCAATTGCTAAATTACCTACATTTCAGTGTTTCTTTTCTGTTATACATAATATTAATCATCTATTCAATATTCATATATTCAATACAATTAATCTATAGAAAATTAATAAATATTATATCAAATTTGATCTAATAAGCATCTATGCAACTGAATGAACGTAATTCTGAATCGGTTCAATAATTTGAATAAAAGGATAAGTAAAAATGATTTCTATAAGTGACAAACTCGCAAAAAATATGACTAGCTAAAAAATGTGTTCAAACGTTAAAATAATGAATATGAATTCAATCATTTTAAGATTCACCGATAAATCAATCTCTATTCAATCACTTCATTTCAATTTGTTGTTAGTTTTGCAGTATAAATAATCCCTTAATATTGAATCGAAAGATTCGATGTTCACCTTAAATATTAACTAATCACTATAAACAATAACAATTATTATACAATAATTTAACTTAAACCTTCAATGTTGTTAACGGGAAGAGGGACTGAATGGTTACAATGAATGAATACCATGTATTACAATAATACCGAAGGCGATCATGATCAGTATCATGATCACCTTCTAGAACATTCTAATTATCTAATAATCGATAAAATATCGTGATAATCATAGATGACCATGAATATCATGGTAATCATCATGGTAACGTTCTAGACGATAAACAATAAACTACTAATCAATAATTTTGTTACAATATCGATTAATTTATAAGCACAATATTTGCATGCAATGAGCACATCGAATGCGATAAAAACACCAATACAATATTAGCAATACTTTATATTAACCTTTACATATTCAGAGTTACAATATACTTGATTATGTTCAGAAATTATAAACTGAAGAACATCTTCAGGTACATCAAATTTTATAACATTAAATAAAGCAGCCAATTAACATGCACGAGCTTTTTCCAATATTTTCCCTTGTTCATCGAATTTACCGTTGATTTCGTCCTCAATTCCCGAAAAAAATACGCATATTTCATCAGTAATTGATTGCCTTTGATCTTACCTTCGATCTTTTCCTTGACCGATTTAGAAGCAGGTCGTTTCAATGTTTTCTTCAGCGTCAATATTTGATCAATGGCAATACCTACCACCTTGACGAAGTTATCATTTTTATCCTTTAACACCTCTGAAGTCATCTTTTGTTTACTATTAGAAAGCAGAAAACAGCTAATACAACTAATAAACATTACATAACATATAATATAGTAACATCAAGAATGTTAATTTACAAATACAGTAAATTCTTGCTAAGGGAATACTCGGTAAGGGAATATTTTGTTACGCCATCTATTGGTTCAAACTATTTTCTATGGACAAATTTAATTGACCAACATTAATTAACGGAAAAAAAGAGTCAAATCAATAGGTGGCAGCATCAAAATAAAATATGCCCTTAGCAAGGTTTTACTGTAATTCGTTCAAATAACAAATTTTCTCAAAATTTTCATAAACCAAGTTAGAATGAGAAATTGTAATAAGATCTCCATTAACTTGATTATCACATAATTAATTATATTAAAACTAGAATGAGGTATATAAAATTCCCATGGATCCATCGGCCACGTAATTTAAAAAGCCACCAATAGCGCAATGAGTTGGATAAGGAGGAGGCGACTGTTGCCACGACAACCAGTCCACAAGGTGCCATCTCCTACGTTCTAATACCAAATTCCTAGTAATCAATAAAACTAATTAATTAAGTCGAGAAGCTAACTTATCGATATTAGCTCCCATTTGATTTATCTCCTGCACCAGCTCATCCATTGAGTTACCCTAGCTCTGATAACCTCTATCACTAGCTCATCGATGAGTAATTTCAGCTCTTTGTGCCCTTTGGAGTAAATCATGAACCGAGTTTATCTCAACCTGGGCGAAGTATTGTGATATCTCAGGTTTTATTCCTCTTATGATTAACCTTATGATCTTTCTTTCGTCCATCTGAACGTTGACTCTTTTACATAATTTTATTTGTTGCAATATAAAAGACAAAATTGACTGATTTTCCAATTGTTTTCCTCGATACAATTGACTTTCCAACAATTGTACATAATTTGGATTAATCATATCTCCAAGCAACATATTTTTCATGGTACTGTATTCAGCAACATTTTTATTTTTGACATAAGATAAGTACCAAAGTTTAATCGTACCAGTGATAAACATTGGGAATCGTTGAATTCGAACATTATCATCCCAACCAACGGCCATCGTTTCGAACTCGAAATTCTTAAACCATTACCATATCTTGACCATTGTCACCACTCAGTCGATAAACATTCAGATTTTGCTCAAGTGAAAGGTTATTTTGAAGAATAGACATTTTTTTCTCTAACATTCAAATTCTACAATTTATATTATTTCAACAATTACCTTTTGATTTTTTATACCTTTGATGTTAACTGATCTCAACAAAAAAAATCAATTGATAAATACTTCGTACCTCAACTTGCTCTTCAAGCTGTTAAAAGGTACTAGGTATTACCAATATGATGAAAACTATTCATTCCAATATAAAGACTTACCAAATTTTATTACAGCTATTTAAATAATTCGAATTCTCGAAACTTGAAGATCACAATAAACAATTCGATCAGCATGGGATCCTGCCTGGG